CAGGGAGCTGGGTAGGTGAGAGGCATACCCCGGGCAGTGGAGGGCACGCAGTGCAAGGCGTCTGTGGCACACCGTACGTCTGCCCCGCGGCGTTGATTACAGGGTCCTCCATGAGCTCGCCTACTCACGCGTGGAACTGTGACTCGCCGCTGGCTGGCCCTCGGTGACCGGGATGGCCTCGCCGGTGATGGGACACAGCAGGTCGGGGAGGACCTCGAGCTCCGCGGCCTCTGCCGTGGTGGGTCCGGGAGCAACGACGGGGGCAGCCGCCGACGAGACTGGTTCGGGTCGTGACATTCGCTGGGCGGTGGTTGAGGGCACGCCCGCCTGCCTCGGCCCGCCAGCGTCATGGACGTGAGACGCGGGCCGCTGCACGCAGTGCCGGTCGGTCGCCGCGGGAGCCCAAGTAGACAGGTCGTCGAGCAGCAGGCTGTCGCCATGTCTGGTGCTCTCCGCGGCGACAGCGCTGACCTTCTCGCTCGCGCCTGCCGCACACTGCCCGCCTGCCGCTTCCTCTACCGCCGAGACAGCTGCGCCCTCTGCTAACCGTGGCGAACGCCGATCGTGCCTGAGTCCAGCAATATCCACGAGCAGCTGCTCCAAACGCATAAAGGGGTTGAGGTGCGCAATCTCTCGGATGGTCCACACTGCGAAGCAGCCCGCCATCCACCGCAAGCGCCAGTCAAGGCAACCCACCCCCAGTGCCACTGCCGCACTCCACGCCAGCACCACTGCCGTCGCCACCTTCAATGTCACCGGCCACTCTTCATCTGTCGGCACTAGCAAGAGCAACCGCTTGCCGGAAGTCAGCAGGGATGTGGCATGCTCCCGCACGGTCCACCGTCGCCACCTAGGCCGCCTTAGCCGCCTTCTGGGGCCTCGGCCACTTCGCCGCAAGTAAGTGCGGACGGCGGGCAGGATCAACACAAAGATCGCCGTACCCCCAAACGCCAAAGCGAGCTTGTCGCCCCTCCGTGTTGCCCCCTGCTCGGCCACATCGACCCCACGCTGCCGGGAAGAAGCGGGTGCTGTGCCTTGCTTGCCTTGTTCCTCGATGAGGAGCCTGATGCACCCGGCATGGCCTTCCCTCATGGCCATTTGCAGCGCTGTCTCGCCAGCCAGACTGCGCGCCTTTGCACTTGCACCCGCCCGCAGCAGCAACTCGACCACCCGCTCGTGGCCATTGCTGACGGCGAACATCAGCGCGGTGCCGCCGTTGCTCTCCTGCACGTTGATATCCGCGCCGTGCTGCAGCAGCAGGTCGACCACCCGCTCGCGGCCATTGCTGGCGGCGCCCATCAGCGCGGTGTCGCCTTCGCTGTTCTGCTTGTTGACATCAGCGCCGTGCCGCAACAGCAGCTCGACCACCCGCTCGTGGCCATTGCTGGCGGCGCGCATCAGCGCGGTGACGCCGCTGCTGCTCTGCAGGTTGACCTCAGCGCCGTGGCGAATCAGCAACTCGACCACCTTCTCATGCCCGTTAGAGGAGGCGTACTCCACCGCGGTTCGGCCGTCGACAGCCTGCAAATTGACCTCCGCGCCGTGTCGCAACAGCAAATCGACCACCCGCTCGTGACCACCGTAGGCGCCGTTCATCAGCGCAGTGTCGCTGTTTGTTAAGCTGTTGTAAATCTGCATGTTGACCTCCGCACCGTGGCGCAGCAGCAACTCGACCACCCGCTCGTGGCCTAGGCCGGCGGCGATCATCAGCGCGGTGAAGCCGTCGATACTCTGCGCGTTTGTCTCAGCACCGTGCCGAAGCAGGAGTTCAACCACCCGATAGTTATTGGCGGCGGCGTGCATCCGCAGTGTGCTGCCGTCCACTCCATCGTGCAAAACCGTCGCGTCGACCCGCCCGCCGCTGCTGAGCCACGCCTCCAGCTCGTCACCTTTCGGAACTACCTCCTCCGGTGTTGGCGGTCGTGGCACTGCGATCTGGAACTGCGAGTTGGGGCCGGCGCCCTGCGGGATCACAACCATGTACTGCTGCCCCGTCGGCGTCATCACCACCATCTGCTCCCCCGCGTGCACGTTCGGAGGCACGGTGACGCGCATCAGCTGCAGGGGGGCGGATTCCTGCTCCTCCTCCTTCCCGCCATTGCTCATGCTGGAGCACACGCCATGAGCGCTCTCGAGCACGCGCCGCCCGCATTCCGCATAAGCGCAGACACACATAGCGGCGAGTAGGAAGAGCTCGCGCATGAGCGGGACCGGGTTAGCCTCAGCGAGTGGCGCCGCGAACGGACGTGACACGTGTAACAGCAGGTGAGCGAACGGACGTGACACGTGTAACAGCAGGTGAGCGGGGTTCTTTCTTTCTTTTTTGTGTGTATGTCGTATTTCTTTCTTCTTTCTCTCTCTGCTCCTCGCTCGGCCGGGCGGCGGCTCGGGTGGTGCGGAGGCGCCGCCGCTGCGCGTGCGCGCGCACGAGGCGGCGCTGGAGCACGCCTGCTGTCGCCGCCACGGCCCGACGCCCGGGGCCGGACGTCGAGTCAGACAAACTTTTGGCGAGGACAGACCGAGCATCTTCACCGAGCATCTTCGCGCCGACCCGCTCTCCTGCGACGATCCGCGGGAGGGGGGCTCGTGTGATCCGGCCAGAGCGGCGGCGCGTGGCGCACACACGCCCCGCTCGCCCGCGGCCGCTGAGGCATGCCCGGCGAGAGCCAGCTTTGCCCCCTCGGCGACATTTGCGAGGCTCACCTCACCGCCGTGCTGCGGGTGCGGCGGTTGGCTTGTAGGCGGGGTCGTCGACCACGTCGGGCACGGGAGAGGGCTTGGGCGCAAACGCGAGGCCGCGAGCGGTTGGCTTGACGTCGTGGACGGTGTTGGCCTGCGCACGCGGTGTAGGCTCAGCCTGCCGGTGTGAGTATGCGTGGCGGGGTGGAGCGACGCACCGGCAGGGCAGACGCCGAGAGCGCGACGAGCAGAAGCGAGGCAATCTTCATCATGGATGTGTGTAAGAGGCCGACGGGTTGGACCAGTTGGCCTTCTGAGGTCGGGAGATGCCGTGTCTCGGATAAACCTGATCGACCAGCCGCCAGGATCATCCGATTCGGAAATTCTTTTTCTTTTCGGTCGCGCCGGTGGAGCATGCTGCTCTAGCCTCACATGTCACTTCCTGTCGTCTGTTGTTTGTTGTGCTCTTGTTTGTTTCTCTTGGCACCTTGGAGTGCTGGGGGGGGCGACAGGGAGGATATGGCCTTGAGTTATGTGTACGCCAACTCAGGGTGTGTGGCAGCCAGCTGGCTGTGTGTCTTGTGAGCCTTTTGTGTCTGTGTGTCGCTCGTGCGTGTCGTCATCATCTGTCCAGCGTCCACCCATACCGCGTTGGTGTCCAGTCCGAGCCTGGCTGTTCTTCACCTTTCTACCTACCTGCCCATCTGTGGGGGAGTGCGCGGCAGCACCTCCATCGAATCAAAAAGGGCGCACCTTGGCCTACACATACATGGTTGTAGAATTTCTTTAGAATATGAAGCGGCCGTTCATCTTTCTACATACATACATACGGCCGTTGCGTGGCCTCAAACTGCCACCATCTTCTCGTCCTTCCAGAACGAAAGCCGCAGCCGCGTCGCGTTTGCGTCATTGATACGATGGGTGCGACTGTGGTGACGGCACTGGCCACTCAGGCTCGGGGGCTCTGGGGGGGCTCGGGGGCCCCCGGAGGCACCGTGCGCCGCGCAGCAGTGCGGAAACGGGGCTCCAGCTCCGTTAGTCTCCGTTAGCACCGACTTCCCGGTTAAGTACGGTTAAGTAGAGGGCAGATTTGGAGTGTGTGGAGTGTGTGATTTGGAGAGATCTCGAGGAGTACATACAGGTAGACCCTCCAACCATCAGAAAACTCCGACCTGATCGGTCGTACTGACCGCCGACAGATCACTCCAGACAGCAGACAGGCCGACGTCTGCACGCGGCCGGCCGGGCGAGAGGCTTGACACGATCCGACCCTGCGACCCTGACGCTGCTGCTCTAGCTATCAGACATGCACTGCTGACTGCTGCCGCAATGTGCGACCTGTGCTGGCCCACTTGGCGGCCTTCCCGGTCACGGCCTCCTCACGCCCCCAGCGGCAGCGTGCCGCTCGGCCAGACTGGTGGGGTTCGCGACAAGCGCCAGTTCAACACAGAGAAGCCCAACAGTCCGCAAATGAGAGTCCTCCCCCCCGCCCCGGCAAACCAGAGCAGACGCCGGGGGCCGCGTATGGCGAAAGCAAACGCACGACGGCCGCCGGCGGCCGTTGAGCCGCTGCCGCCGTTCGAGCCTTGGATGTCCGTCCGTCGCCGCCTGTGGCGAGGGCAGTGGACGTGTGAGATTTGTGCTCGCAAGTGGTGGGCGGGCGAAAGGGTCGGGCGGCAGAAGTGAGCAGACAGCGCGAATGCGGTCTACCTGTGTCACATCTACATCTACTCCTCGTGTCACCTAGTCATGGTCCTCGCTTCCCTGCCCGATCTCCGAGTCCTGCGCCTCGCCTGAGTCCTCGTCCAAGTTCGAGTAGTCCTCTCCTCGTCTTCGTCCTCGTCTTCGTCCTCTTCGTCGATCTCGTCGAGCCGGGCGGCTCCTGGCCCGTCCCGGCCGTGACGCTGGGGCCGACTTGCTAAGCGGGCGGGGAGTCGGACCGCCAGCTCTGCTGCTGCCTGTGCTGCCCGTAGTCCTTGCCTGCGAGCGAGTGCCCTTTGCGGGGCTGTCGCTCAGAGAGCGGGTGTCGCCACGGCCGTCTTCTGATCTGTTTTGTGGTTTGCGCGCTGCGCTGCGCTGCGCGTCTCGAGGCGCGCCGCAACACAGCCCGTGGAAATGGGGTAATGGATGAACCAAGCATCCCCGATGGCCGGGGGGATGTCCCATGGCCCCGGGGTGGCCGTGGGCACGCAGGGGGCGCCGCTACGGGCCGCTGCGGCGCCCATTCTATTTCGAAGAATGCCATTCTGGAATATAGAATGTAGGTCTGAGACCGGCATGCGTCGTCGCACCATCCCATCTCCGTGTACATCTTCGTCCACACAGTTGAACCGCGTTGCGAACGCGCATTTAGAAGGAATGCAGGACATCGCCGACACGCTCTCTGACCCGCTCACGCTGCTGCGCCGCTTCACGATGACGAAGCAGCCGGTCAAGCTCGTCGGCGACTACCTCGTCTTCGGCCGCGTCCGCTTCCCGCGCGCTGCGCCGACCGCGTACCGCGCGTCTACCAAGGGCAAGCCATTCTACCCGGTGGACGCGCTATGGTTCCTGCTGCAGAAGCAGTCGCTCAAGCCGGGCGAGTACCTGCGCGAGTGCACCTCCAACCAGATGATGCCCGTCTCGCGCCCTGACCAGCGGGCGCTCCTCGCCTACCTGAACGGCACCGCCGACTCGTCGCCTGCGATTGACATGACGGGCGCGACGATCGTGACGGCGGAGCCGGTGCCCGCGGACGAGGGCGCCACCAGCGCCGCCGCGCCGATGGAGCTCGATGAGCCCGACGACCTCGAGGACGCGCAGGCGCGCGAGGAGGCGGCGGCGGCGGTCGCAAAGGCGGCGGCGGAAAAGGAGCGCGAGGAGGCGGCGGGCAAGGCGGCGCTGGCGGCGCTGCTAGCCGGCCCTCACGCGCAGGTCGCCGTGGAGGCTGACGGCGGAGCCGACGCCGCGGACGGCGACGGGGGCGGCGGCGGCGGCGCGGAGGCTGCCGCTCCGGACGGCGACGGCAAGAAGAAGAAGAGCAAAAACATGATGGGGGCGGCCAAGGCGTACATCAAGGCCGACCGGGCGGCGACCGCGGCGATCCTGAAGCGCGAGAAGACGCTGCGCGACCGGCGGGCGATCCTCTGCGCCCCCGGCGTGCTCCTGCTACCACACCACCCGCCGGACCGAACCTCGCGCTGGATTCGGGACTGTGGAGGTATGGTGCTAGGCGTGTCGTCGTTTCAGAGCGTGACTCACATCCTCGAGGCTTTCAAGGCGCAGCAAAAGGCGCTCGAGCGCGAGGAGCAGAAGGCGCGCCGCGACAGAAGCGCCGCAAAGCCGCCGCCGCAGCCCTCCTCCGCCTCTGCGTCCTCAAGGCCACGGGCCGGCAGCAGCAGCAGCA